CTTTACTGGGCTGGTGTAGCTCATTCCTTATTTAACCATTTCAGATCAGGAAGACATTGTTCCCGAGCCCGTTCCGCAGGAAGACGGCGAAGGGGACGCCTAAAGACTCCGTAGTTATATTTATAGTTTTTATTTCCGAGTTTCTCTTTTAGTTAGTTTGTTCTTTTATAATTTGAGCACGTTTTTTATTTTAGTGTAAGGGATGTTAATCAAATTTTTATTACGCTTCCGCATTTGACATTTTTAATACACATATTTCATTCTAAATTTCCGGGACGCTACATATTATCACATCCATTTGATTTTAATATGAAAAATTATATCTTTATAATAAAATTAAAACATTAAAATCATATACTCAAGTAGCAAGATGATTTGGATGTAGCGAGTATGATATTAACCCACTAGTTATATCCATATCTATATCTTACTCATTTTATATTTTTAATTTTAACTTACACCTTTTTGTAACCCACTAATTATAAGTTTCTCTCTAATTTACTAGGAACATATTAAAATAGATTAATGGTTTTTATGTTCATTTTAGTGGTTACTATATAAATACTATGTGGTTGCCATAGGGATACCATATAAAAACCCTGAGAATTTGTAAAAGACCTATAAGCTTAATCTATATATAAACCAACCAAAACCCTATTTGGAAAAAACTTTAGATACCACATAAGGACCCTTCTTTATTCTCATCCTTTATCTTTTTTTCTCCACTTGCCCGATTTTTTTTCAATTTCTTATTCCACTTTTATTTTCACTATACAATCAATGAGAACCTTAAGATGATTGAGGAAAAGGTGAAACTTTAGTGTCTACCTCATATAATATTTATTTATTTTTTCTTCAAACTGAATTTACATGTTAAAGACACACTATTAGACAGTTTATGAAATAAAAAAATTATTATGAATTTATGAATGGTTATTTAATATTCACGAGTTATATGAGTGGAAAAAAGAAATGAAGCACAATTAGGTTCTTAAGCAGGCACTTTAAAAAAAAATAGAGATGAAAATACACTGAATAATTAAGTTTCATAAAAGCACTTATATGGTTGCATAATAAAAACCTATTGAATAAAAAGATGACTCCAAAATAGATGGTATGAGTTAGAAGAGAAAGAAAAAAAGAAGAAGATGAACATCAAAGGTGTTTAAGAATGGAATGCCAATGTGAGGCTTACATGAACAACCACATGGCATTTATAGGGTAAATTCTATTATCTATTAATTAACATATACAATTAAAAATAAAAATAAAGAATAAGTATTTAAAATACAAAGCTTATCGAATAGAATTGAAAAAAAAAATCTGAGCAAATTTGTGTTACTCTCTTCAAAAAATGTGAGCAAGAAGAGAAGAAAGGAAAAAAAAAAGAATTAAAGAAACAAAAATGTACAATTAGCTAGGAAAAAGAGAGAAATTGGAAAATTTTAAAATAATATTGCTTTTAAATATATAATTTAACATATAATGGTTGTTAAATATATAGTTAATATAGAATGACATATCGAGACAAAAATGAATAAATTAAAAATGTTAAATATAATTAACACAAATAAAAATATAAAAACAATACTTTTTTTTTAACTTTTACATCTAAAAAATATACAAATCCTTTTGTTCTCACTTGTTTCATAACATGATAGATATTATTATTTTATTATTAGCATTATGACCCCAAAAAAAGAAAATGCACAAATACACAGATTCTTCCCAGCGTCACTTGTGTGTCCAGGGCCCCACTGGTTGTTACGTTCTAGCCAATCATAAGGGCTCTCGTCGTTAGCAGAAGGAATCCAACGGCCAAAATCAAGTAATCGGTTTAGTTTACCGTCGTCAGATCCATTTCTAAATACTCTAACGGCCATAAACTAGCGAGTAACAAAGAGAATTATAGGTGCGGCACATGATAGCTACTCCGTCCACATTGTTTACGAACTGTCCAAAACCCGGTTCACGCGAGTTGAATGTTGACACTACCATGTGATCCATTTACCATTTTCATCAAAATTCAGACACCTTCCCTCTCTCTCTCTCTCTCTGCGCAGCTTGTTCGCTCACTCCCCTCTCCTTTCTCCAAGATTTCTTCCTTCGTTGTCTCAGAGTGTAAGCTCAGATCAGGGAACAACAAGGTGAAAAGTTTTGTTCATTTGCTCTCTCTTCTTCGAACCAAGCTTTCTTTCTTTTTTATTTATTATTGTTTGATTTATGTTGTACAACTCAGCATTTATTTGGATCATCTTCTCAAGTCTCAACAAATTTGATGATCATTAAAGTTACTATTTAAGGTTTATAGGGTTTGTTTAGGTTCCCGGTACTTTTCAAAGTTGATAAACTACTTTTATGATCGGAGTAGCTTTACTGTACAAAACTGGAGTAGCAAATTTCTTTGCTCTCTTTAGCTTGACAAGGAAGCGGGATAAAGTCAACGCCATTCTACTCATGAGTCCTTCGAGTCTCAGCATTTTGTTTCTAGTGATGTTTAGTCGCTAATAAATGTACAGGCGATGAAGGAGATTTCCATTCGTTGATCATCCAGATTTGGTACTCGTGGTTGAAAATGTGCATTGCTAAGCTTGAGTGAAGTACAGGTCGATTGCTGGTAAAGTGGAAGAAAGAAATGGAACCAAATCCTGAATTTGCTTTTCTCAAGCTTTATTTGCTTCTGAAGTAATGTAGAGAACAAGTTTGTGTTGAGAAATTTATCTTTTTCATGCTGCAATAATGTCAGATATTTAATTTGTACTGGTTTAGGTTTGCATGTTTCCTTTTCTTTATATCTGCAGTCAAGCTGACCATTAAGTTCTGATGATTCAAATGTCCACCAATCAATTGGTGATTTGCATTATAAGGTTTACTCTAGTTGCCTTATCTCGACACTAACTCAGAAACGTTTTACTTTTTCTTTTCTATTTGAAAGAGGAAACTAAAAGGGAAACAGAGTAATGGGCCTAACAGTTGCTGTAAAATTTTCATTTTAATGTCTGAAGTAGTTCTTAGTTACTTCGATATTTCTTTGATTTCTGAGAAAATCCAAGGAAGATAAGGGAGAAAAAAAAGAGATTCTCAATTTAATATTTTGGCTTCGTTACGTCGATCTTAGTTATCTTTATCCTACAGCAAGTGCAAAGTTCTTGGAAATCATGTATCTAAAATTTAGTTATCTACTTCATTTTTCTGTTTCAATTTTACTTGCTATTTGTGGTTTACAAAGAAGGTGAAAAATAAATTGGTGTTTTCTTCTTTCATATAGAACTGGAACTCAAAGATCTGCAGCTTGTTAGCGACAAAGTCATTGTTGGTAGTAGACATGCAGATGGAATCTGGGCTAATCTTTTCAGTGGAATGCTAGTCTAAAACTGATGGAGGAACGTCTTGGAAAAGGTGATTTGCAAGTAAATGTAGTTCGGCAGTCATCCTTAAGGCAAGGTAGCTTTAAATCTACATTTTCAGGAAGGTCAACTCCTAGGAATTCTCCTTCTTTTCGGAAAGTACATTCCAGCCGAACTCCACGAAGAGAAGCTAGAAGTAGTGGTGGTTTTGAACAATGGTTTAGGAGCAACAGGTTGATTTACTGGCTGCTCTTGATCACTCTTTGGGCTTATCTTGGGTTCTACGTGCAATCCAGGTGGGCTCATGGTAATAATAAGGAAAGAATTTTGAGTTTTGGAGGTAATCCAAGAAATGAGATCTCAAATCCTGAAGAGAATAAGCGACAGGATTTGATTGCTAATAGCAGTTTGGTGGTTGTAAAAAATGGTACGAGTACAGATCAAGTAGCTGGTGGGGAAAGGATAAATGTAGTTTTGGCCAAGAAGGGTAATGGGCTTTCTCACAGCAGCAAAACTCCAAAGAAGAGGACCAAGAGAGCAAAACGCAATTCACGTAGTAGGATGCATGTTAAGCAAAAGGAGACTGTGGAGGTTGAAGGTAAAGATGTAGACGGCCAAGAACAGGATATTCCTAAGAAAAATACTACTTATGGATTACTTGTTGGTCCTTTTGCATCTATAGAGGATAGAATTTTGGAATGGAGTCCAGAGAAGCGGTCGGGAACTTGTGACAGGAAGGGAGACTTTGCACGCCTTGTTTGGTCTAGGAAATTTGTGTTGATATTCCATGAACTTTCAATGACTGGGGCTCCTATTTCAATGATGGAATTGACAACAGAGCTTTTGAGTTGTGGAGCAACTGTTTCTGCTGTAGTTCTTAGTAAGAAAGGTGGGTTGATGCAGGAGCTGGCTAGGAGAAGGATCAAAGTAGTTGAAGACAGAGCAGACCTCAGCTTCAAAACTGCCATGAAAGCAGATCTTGTCATTGCAGGATCAGCAGTCTGTGCATCATGGATTGGTGAGAAACATTAGGCAACAATTATTAACGATTTTTTGTTTAAGTTACAAGTATTTACTAGCACTGGTATCACTATTTTGGAGTTGCATTATTTAAATGGTCCAATAGGACCCCATTTTCGTTGCAGACAGTTTGAGAATGCAGTATTATTATTATGTGTGATACCTATCTAATGTTGTTCTTTCATTTCCTAATTATCTTAATGTAGGTTATTTTGATTATTATCTTAAGCTTCGATTTGATCTAATGCATGAAGTTTATAGGATCATGCATGAATAATCCATTTAGTTTCCTTATTCAGTAGAATGTGTTCCAAGTGACATTATGTAACTGTATATCTGCAATGGCATTGAACTAATTAAATGGCATAATAAGAGGACATTATTTGGCTTGCCTGGATTACAGACAGTTACTAGATTTCACATAGAATGAGGCTATAACGCAAGAGATATTCTTACCCCACTTCTACGTATAAGAATTTGCCTAAGTTTACTGAAAGGTTAATTCAATATGCTGATTAAGTAGGGGATTAAATTAGTATATGTTTCACATTGTGCTTTTGTTCAGATCAATACATAGCTCATTTTCATGCTGGTGGAAGTCAAATTGCTTGGTGGATCATGGAAAATAGACGAGAATATTTTGATAGGTCAAAGCTTGTTCTTCATCGAGTGAAGATGGTGATTTTCCTATCTGAATTGCAGACTAACCAATGGTTAACCTGGTGCGAAGAAGAAAATATTAAGCTGAGATCTCAGCCTGCAATTGTCCCACTGTCTGTTAATGATGAATTGGCATATGTTGCGGGAATTACTTGTTCACTAAACACTCCAACTTTTACTCCTGAGAATATGCTGGAGAAAAGGAAATTGTTACGAGATTCAGCTCGGAGAGAAATGGGTTTGATGGAAAATGATATGCTTGTGATGTCCCTTAGTAGCATAAATGCTGGAAAAGGCCAGCATCTGGTCCTTGAATCAGCAGCCTTGCTATTTGGGAAAGGATCTCTACAAATTGGTTTAAATATGGACAATTCCACAGATAATGGCAAAGATCAGTCAACTTTGGCGGTAAAGCATCATTTAAGAGGTTTACTGCAGAAGTTAAATGGCACTGATGTAGTTTTGAATGAACAATCTATTTCCCGTGCGTCTCATGTTGTGCCAGATGAGAATAACACAAATAAGTTAGGCCTATCCAGTCGCCTTGTGCACTTTAATGACATGTATGCTGTGAGCTTTCCTGGCAGTCCGAATGGGAGGAAATTGTTGTCTAATAAAGAAATGGAAAAACAGGCTCTTAAAATTCTTATTGGTTCTGTTGGATCTAAAAGTAACAAGGTGCCATATGTTAAAGAAATCTTAAGGTACTTGTCCAAGAATACAAATTTGTCGAAGTCTGTACTCTGGACTCCTGCAACTACACGTGTTGCCTCGCTATACTCTGCAGCAGACGTTTATATTATAAACTCCCAGGTAATGCATCTTTATAGTTTAACAAATAGACAAACTTAGAGACAGACCACATTACAAGAAACTTTTGGCACAAGTTTTCAATTGAAATTCTGGGTGTTTATGTTTCTTAAATCTGAGTCTATGATGAAGTTACCTTGACATTTGTAGTCTTTTGACATGATAGGCTATTCCATTCAGGTGCTTCATAATCCTTAATTTAATAGGTTTCTTAATTTACCTTTTGACCTGTTTAATCATTAAATTTTTAGAATCTTTGCTCAGTAAAATCTCAGCTAGTTATTTTAGTAAATGCTTTTATACATATGTTTAAATCTAAATGGATGTTATATTAGAGGTGCAAGTGATTGTATTTGCTTTATGGTCTGTTAATCTATCACATAGGAGGATATATTTCATGCGCTTGCTTGACAAGGTGAAGAATTCTTCTAAGTACGAAAACCAACATAGTTGTATGCTCTACAATACAGGATGAAGATATGCCTCTTCAGTGAAAATACATAATAGGCAGAAAGCCTTTTTCCTGTAAATGCAGAAGGGAGCCACCTCAAATGCAGAACCCTTGTACTTATATTCCATAATACGGAGAATTGAGACTTGAGAGTGATCTAATGAAGTTGTGAGGGGTGAGGGCAAAAATCTTGTATAGAAAAATTCTTTGGCTGGCCCCCCACCATTTAAATTCACATTCGTTCTTCCTCCTGCCACTTATTTCATCCAATTTGCAATGTCAAACCTTCAAACATCTGGAACCATAAGTAATAATCTTTAAGATTCCTGAAATCCAAACTTTTTGTTTGTGTTCTATGTATTCATTAATTATGTGCATGACAATTGAAGTAGCAATCACTTGATTATTACACGATGAAAACGCTTGCATGTAGTGTACTTAATTCTGTGTGTCCTTCAAAGTTTAGAAAAAAAAAAATTCAAGTAATGCTAGTTACCCATTTTAATAATTCGTCCTTGTCAATCAGCAAGTATGTATTAATTTTTTGTTTCATGTATAGGGACTAGGAGAAACCTTTGGAAGAGTGACCATTGAAGCAATGGCATTTGGCCTCCCAGTAAGCAATCTGTCCTTGGATACTGAGTTTTTGTTTCCTTTTCTCCTGTACAGAATTATATCCACTATCTGTCTGTTATTGTGATAGATTACTTAAATTTCTTTCCACCTCCCATATGTTTCTCACAGCTTTGAAAGATTTTAGACATTTGTTTTTCACTATGCAAACAGTCATTTTGCTTTTATACTTTTGCAATGATAATCTAATTTGCTTTTGTGCGTCTTTATTTATATGCATCATGCGTGTTTGTATCAGTAATTCAAAGTGAGGAGTGTGATCCAATTCCTGCATGTTTGTTTGTCTGTTCTCTCTTTCAGTCAGACACATAAGTTAGAAGTTTCCATTCTGTTTTAAGAGAATAAATTACCTCATGCATCGGAGAAGGAAATATGTTCATAGTTTTACCTTTCACGGATAATATTGAGGTTTTTCTCTTTTGCAACTCATTTTCAGAGGTAGATGTTAAATGGTAAATAACAATTGCATGACGGTTTTTTTGGCAGCCTTGTTTTACATGGAAGAATAATTTAACCTTAGGCCTTGGAATCAATAACAAGAAAATCCATTATACAGTTGAACAGTAATTTGAAGCATACTGGGAGAAGGTATGATACAAGGACTTTTCTTTTTTGAACACAGGAGGTGAACATAAATTCTGGATCCCAGAGTCTTCAAATGATCTGATCTGATGTGGTGTTGTAATCTATAGCTAGAAACTCCTCAGATCACAGTTCCAAAATTTTATTAAGTTGTCTCCTAATTCTTGACTTTCCTGGGGATAAAGCTTAGTTGGGACTTGAAAATGATGATTCCGAAGAAGTAGAAAGGGGGGCAATCACAGTAATTTGGTCCACTTTGTTTATTCTTTTTTCTTCTGATGACTCCCTTTTGTGAAAAACTAAAAGAGGTTTATGTTTTAAGTGTAGTGCTATTTCCAGCATTACCTATAAATTATGATTCGGGCTTACATGTGTAGAAAGATACTTGAAGCAGATGTTGATGGTATTTTCTTGCACATTATGATACAGGTGCTTGGGACTGATGCCGGAGGCACAAAAGAAATTGTTGAGCACAACGTAACAGGGCTTCTCCACCCTGTAGGTCGACCGGGAACTCAGGTTCTTGCTCAGAATCTTCAGTTTTTGCTTGAAAACCCATCTACCAGGATGCAAATGGGGATGGAAGGAAGGAAAAAGATAGAAAGAATGTATTTGAAGCGGCACATGTACAAGAAGTTTGTGCAGGTCCTCTACAAGTGCATGAGCAGCATGTAAAATCCACCATTGTCAGTCCCATTCTTTAATTGGTTCTGAAAGATCACAGTGAGTAATGAAATTCTCTCTATATTGCCCAATTGATTAGACAAAATTCTCAGAGCAATCATTTCTGAGGAAACAAAATGTGTTTCAGTCTTTCGGTTGATTAGGAAATAATTTTTGGTCCAAATTTTAGAACTCAGATCTCCAATATTCCTTTGCTTCTTAAAAAAAAAAAAACACTTCAATTATCCTGTGGAAATAAAGAATCAGGCTTCAGTAAAAGAAACCTGAAAGTATTTGAGGCGTGGCAAGTGCTGATTCCTGAAAAGTCGTGATTGGAAGGGCACAAACACAGAAATAGTAAAGATGCAGTTCCTAGGTGAATTATGTTAACTACATAATCAACATATATATATATGTACATCTATATTTATATATATATTTATGTAAATACACCAGCTGAACAATAGTTTATATCACCATCAAATTATGTGCTGTTAGGATTAAGGCAAATATTCACTAATCAGGCTGTGTTTATATATAAATATGAAGAGATGCTCTTGGTAGCTGAGCTTTTAGGTAGATAATCATCCTGGGGAAAACACGCCTACTTAGATGAAAAATCATTAGGAAGGAGCTAAATTATAGAGCCAGGAGGTAACGTTAAGCAGGGAAACCCAATTCGAGTAGCTCTTCAAACCCAAATTTGGAAGGGCATGGGCACAGCTGTTAGGCACAGCTGTTACTGATTATGCAGGTGAAATTAAGGACCACATATCCAGTCTAGGAGGGACTTGCAGGCATCGAAAGTGTTTGTGAACTGTTGGTTGTCACCATAACCATTGCTCGTGGATAGGGGATCAAAATATTCATAATAGGTCCTAGGAAAGGGGGGAGACACAAGAATTCGAACTGAGGATTGCGAACGATAGATACTCTTGTTACCATTTTCTATAAGAACATCATAGAGTTCCATGCAATCAATATGTTAATACTTCAGAATGTCAAACTTATTTTTGAAGAACTTTCTATATATATGGTAATGCATGCCGCTGTGCATTACGTGTGGGTTCGGTTGGCATTTTTTTGGCACAATTTGATGCTCCTCCAGTTAAATTTTTGTAGAATTAGCAGTATACTGTGTAGGTGCCGTGTTCTGATGATGTTTTAGTTTGAGAATAGTGTTAATGATGATTTATCTTGAGATATGAATGAGGATAGGACTCGAACCCGAGTCACTCTTCAATGAAATTGTTGTCATATGAGCTAAACATTCCGAGTCACTCTTCTATGAAATTGTAATAATATGAGCTAAACATTCTTGATACATCAAATTGTTGAACTCATCTAAGGTAAAACTTTTCTTTCAGTGCACATTCATGTGTTTACTGCTTAAAAAAAAACACGCTTGTTACAGTAACTAGGTAATTGGTTAAATTTTAATTTATTTATAATGTATTAATTATTTTCAATTTATATAATTTTTAATTCACTCATTTTTTAGATATATTTGTATAATTAGTTATTGATAATTTTAAATATATTTATATAATCATCTATATAATTTAACCAATAGAATATTTATGTATTGAAATAATTAAGAATCAAATTTAAGATTAGTGTAAATCAAATTTTTTCATCTTTTTTTGTTAATTTAACACATCAAAGATTTATAACGAGGACAATGATTATTGAAAAATATCGAACTTCAAATATCATAAAAAAGGCTGTAGAGCTTTGGGCAAAATTCACATGGCACATACCATAGCTATACATGAACTGTCTTAAATATAACTTTTTATAAGTTCACATCCTCTGCTAACGCTTTGATTAGATTACTTGCATAAGGGTTCATTAATGTCATGTACGGTCGGGTATATGCAAGATCTATTAATGTTTATTTAAACATATTTGAATGATGGTCTATTAATATTTGATAGTGATAACTGTTTTTGATTGGATTGATAAAATGATATGCCAGTATATATGAGCAAATTTTTTATTTTACCTATACTTTATTATATATAGTACTAAATGAAAAATAAAAAAGAATTAAAAAAATATATAATATTAAATATAATGATATATAAATACATATAATTAAATATATTATATACATATATATATATAATTAAAAATATAAATATATAAATTTAATTGAATATATAAATATATTTTTATATATAAAAATATATATAATTATATATATATATATACAATGTTTGAAAAGAATATAAAAAGAAGTGTCGGTTAAAAGAAATTAAAGAGAATGGTAATGTTATAAAGAACAAAAAATAATAAAGGTATAAAGGAAAAAAATTATCAAGTTATCATAAAACTACCGAATTAATAGTTTGAAAAAATAGAAAAAATCATGATTTTGAGAAGCATAACTCAACTACCAAAAAACTATACAATGTATTTGAAAATGTAAACAAAAAGAAAAAAAATCATATCATCATTATTGAATTATCGTCCAAACAAGGCCTAAGTAATATTTCTCTTCAATAAAGAGCATAATAAATTTTGTAAGTCTTGACATACTTCACATGTAATACTTGGCCCGAAAATCACCTGGGGATAATTTTTTTATTTTAATAAATAATTTAATTTAATTTTATTTTATTTTATTGATTTTTTGGAGAAAAATAAATAATGGACGAAATTAAAAGCAATTTTGGAGAAAATGGGTAAAATTTTGAATTCATTGGGTGTTTTTGCAAGAAAAATTAGAAACAGATGGTTAAAATACAAAAAAAAATAGCCACGTGGCACAGCCCAGTTAGTAGCCCGAGTGAATTGGAGCACACCGCGTGGCAACTCCGCTGACATCGGCACCACGCAGGAAGCCACATAAGTGATCCGCTTGCCCAGCGATCTGACGGCCTAGATCTCATCTCGCGCGTGTGAATAGGCTAGATGTGTTTCCTCTTTAGACGCGATCGGACGAACTTTATGGATCATAATTGACGGCTTGGATTCATCCATGCCATTAGCCTAAACGAAAAACCATCGAATGGTCCTCCTCGCTCCACGTCGACGCAAACGGACGGCTCGGATCGAAGAGTATAAGGTATTTAAACTCCTCTTCGCAGGGCAACCCAACCCTAGCCACCAGCCCCCCGCTGGAGAAGAAGACCTGCCCCTGGCCGTCGTAGTACCGGAGCCATCGCTCATCGCCAAAAAAGGTAAAAAAAATTTCGTTCTGCCCAGAATTCGATTCCGAGTCTCTCTGTGGCCATATCGGAGCAAAAGGGACGGTAAGTGAGCCAGAAACAGCGAAAAAAACCCGGCAGAGCCACTGCAGCCAAACTTTTAAAATCTTCTGATGAACTCCTTCCTATTTTCCATTTCACACGATTCTTTGATCATTGTATTCACCGTCCCTTTCTTTGCAAGTTAGCCGAATGAGAACCAGCGGAGCCGCGCCACCCGGAGACCCCCCGCCGGTAAGTTCAGTTTTTTGGTTTTTCTGGCCAACCGAGGCTTCATAATGTATTTTTTTGCAGGGGTACGTGTAAAACTGGCCAAAACCGAACAAGCCAATGCAAATGTCGTCGTTGGCAGTGGAGCTGACATCAGAGCACGGCAGCGCCACCGTGTCGAAACTTTAAAATTGGCCAGAAAGGGTTTTCAACACCAATTTTGGGTTTTTTTGGGATAGTTTTGGGTACGTGATGAGTATTTTGATTCTCGCAGGGAAAATTCATAAAAACTCGAGGTCCGCCAGGAGGTGTAGTGGGTAACACAGCGTTTAAAAACATCGATCTTAGGAAGGATCTCTCACCTTATTCTCTGTTATGATAAATTAAGGCTTAATAATCAATAATCCTGTATTTTGTGAAAATTAGAAAAACCCTAACAATAATTATAGGTCACTAGTAGAGCTGAAACCGGTCAGTATACGATTGCCCTAGTTTATTTCATTTTCTTCTGTATTGCTTAAAATATTTACTATTGATTTATGTGCATTAAATTGCTAGTTTAAATTGTGTTCTCGATTATTTAGTTTACTTGAGTTTTCCTGTATTAATTTATTTGGTTATCTGGCTACTTGGTTATTCGGTTATGTAAATTATATCGTTAGCTTAGATGTCGTTTAAATTAATTTATGAATGTATAATATGTGATTGGTGGTTGTTTGGACGACGAGAATCTATATATATGAAAGCTTACTAGGTGCTCTGGAAAGGGTGGATGGATCCGGTATATATGGAACCCTACTGTGTACATTACCTCAGTCGGATGGGGTTGAGAAATTCCTTACCAGAAGAGTTTGGAAAAAATGGTTCACCTCATACCGAAGGGGGTATAGAGGGGATGATATGTTGCGTCCATTATCGGACGGGGTATAGTGACGTCCGGATTAATTGTCAAATCAAGATACTGAGTTCACGAGTAGATGAATATCCCTATGGACTCCAGGAGTCCTAGTAAGTAGATTAAAAAATAAGAATTACTGATCTTATACATGAAATTAAAATGTTATTTGGTTACTTGTTTTCATAGGTTGACTTTGGAAAATTCCGTAATAGTAAGTATGGAATAAAATATTTTAAAGTTAAATATATTTACTTAAATCAATAGCTCCATTGGCTGTTTTGTGATTTTACGAACCTTCGATTTTTTATATTAGTGATTAATATAATAATTTTTACTGGGATAGTGTAGCTCACCCTTTTACTAATAAATTTCATATCAAGAAAACTAGATTTAGATCCCGATCAGCCAGAGAGTTGTGAGTAGATCACCTCTCGGACTCTCATTCAGTGCTA